TCTCATATACACATATTTAAGATTTTGTTAAATTAATACAATTAAGCTATAAATATAAGAAATGTTTTGATATATACTTGTTCTTAACAATACAATTTTTAGTTCTTCTATTTGTAAAGTCTAAGTGTAGCCTAAAATCTCTGAGGTAACTTTATTTAGTTAAGTTTGTTATGAGATATTCACCTTAAAACTAAGTAAGTTGTATTTGAAATATTTTTATGATTTCATAGTTGAAAAGTTGATTATATGAGAAGATTAAAGTTGGACCTTGTGGATTCTATTCTAAATGATTGTAACTATCAATAACTGTTTTAGGATCTAGAGAATTACATATTAGAATTGATACCAACTCTACCTCAACTTGAAGGTTTAGAGAAATCTTTTCATTCATTTTATGTCTGCACAGCAGTGAGAAAATTTTTATTTTTCCTTGATCCCCTCAGAACTGGTAGAGTTAGAATACAAGATATTTTGGCATGTAGTTTCCTCGATGATCTCCTTGAATTGAGGGATGAGGATTTACCTAAAGACTTACAAGAAGCAAATTGGTTTTCTGCTCCATCCGCACTTAAGGTATATGGACAATATTTAAACCTTGATAGAGATCATAATGGTATGCTCAATAAAGAAGAACTTGCAGGGTAATTTGTATAAAACAATATAACCTTTCATACTTATATTTACAGTAGATTGATGTAATAACTGTATAAAATCATTATTTACTAGATATGGCACAGGAACTTTAACTGGTGTATTTCTCGAAAGAGTATTTCAAGAATGTTTAACATATGAGGGAGAAATGGATTACAAGACCTATTTAGATTTTGTTTTAGCATTGGAAAATCGACATGAACCACAAAGTTTACATTATTTATTTCGAATATTGGATATTAATAATCGTGGTTATCTTGACACATTTTGTCTTAATTATTTTTTCCGTGTAGGTACATAAATGATAAGTTTTAACAAACTTCTAACTTTTAATCTGCATGGTCTTACCTTAAATTTAATTCACTGTCTAGGCTATACAAGAACAAATGACAATGCACGGTCAGGAACCTGTAAGTTTTGAGGATGTTAAAGATGAAATATTTGATATGGTAAAACCAGCAGATCCTTGTAAAATTACATTGCAGGACTTATTATCTTGGTAAATACGTTGACAATGTTATATAGATTTGAAAATTATTTTTTGTAGATAAAAAATTGTACTGAATGATTCGTATTTTATAGTGGTCAAGGTGATACAATGGTCAGTATTTTAATAGAATTTCATGGATTTTGGGCGTATGAAAATCGTGAAGCTATGGCTGCTGACACTGGTGATGAATCATCTCATGTTTGAAAAAAAACAGCCCGGAAATGTGATATACTTCTGTGACTGCTCTGATAACTTTCATTTACATTATAATTATGATTCACAAAATATTAGAATATGTCAACTATTTTTTGTAAAAAAATTCTAAACATGCTAAGGAAAGGATGTACAATATTGTTTTTATAATAAAATTTTTTATTTCTTAACATGCTTTAGTAATTTACGATTTTAACATTATTTAATATTTAATGCAAACAATAATAACAATATTATTTGCTAATTAATTATCTTATAATTACTACCAACATTAATATATGTTTAGAATACGTAAAAATACATATATTGCAAAAAATAATAAGTTTACGAATTATTTAAAAATCATTATTATCTTTTACATATAGTAATACACTTTTACTAAAAATTATTATTATCTTTTACAGATCATTTCCAAAAGATAAATAACGGACTTACATATAATGTAAAATTACAAAAGAGTTACTTAATATATCGTTTTATGTATTCTTATATATAGTGTTTGAGAAATAAAGTAATATTTTAAATGAATATTTTCAAAGTTTATCTGAATTTTATTACAAATCTCTTTCATTCATGCACAGTCGTGTATTTATATACGTAAACATTTCTTTACTTCTGTCGACCAATAAGATCGTTCCATTTCAAATGATCCTATGTAAACGTGCGTTGCCCCTCCACAGCAGAGAGTTTAATGACGCTTCCGCTGTGTAGTTGCTCCAATCCTGCGAAGATCTTTGGTTTGTCTCCTTGCAACGTTTCCCATCATATTTCAATTGCGCGAAAGTTTTTCCGTGTGCTGCGTCACTTTTCTCGCATAAGTACATTACGGTTTAAAAAACATGTACTTTGTGTTAAATGCGAATTGAAGAAGCTTTTGTAACAAATAATTTGTCACGAGAATGGATGAGAAATAGAAACTGTCACTTTCGATATATCACGGTATACTACACGCGTTTGATTGCCCCGGCGGTTACGTTTAAATTCAACGGTCGTGAATAGTTTCCCATGCGTAACACTTAAAAGAGCATTTGGATTCTTTTGATAATTTACGTGCGTCGATATTTTTCAATAAACTACTCAAAATTGCGTAAACGTAGTCGTCGATATTTCATAGTCATTTGGTGTGTTCGTTAGATATAAGTTAATACTGTTTTGCGTCACATACAATGGACCCTTTCACTCAGGTAAAGCCCTTCCATACAATTACAATGCAGAACCGTGACAGTGGTTACGAATGTTCATGATTTAGGCAAAAGATTTCGCCATACATTCATTCCTCTATTTTTCTATATTTGATCAATATTTAAATTTTGTTAATATAGAGCAGATGCTTGCTGTGTAAAAATTTTATGTTGATAATTACTTAATGAACTATCGAAATTGTATATAATTGTGTATTTATTATTGTGATTTTTTATAAATCTATAAATTATAACTTAATATAAATTAATATAAAATAAAGTACTAGTCATTATTTTTTCCGTAAATCTATGTTTCGAGATAATAATTGGTTTTTGTAAATAGAGGATGTTAGAACGTGCTAGAGCAAGAAGAGAAAAATTAGACACTCAACTATCCAATGCTGGACATTATGTTAAAGGAAGGTGTAATCCTTTAAAGGATGCAAATGCTATATTAGAACAAGCTACAGGTATTATTTTTATAGTATATTATACTTATTAGTCAAATTTGTTATTAAATGTTTAATGAAATAGTTTTGCAAATGAATAAAGTCTATATAATATCATTGTAATATATATATAGAATGTATTTTAGTATTTATATATTTTGTTTACATTTATAGTTACAAAGAATAAAACCCCATCCAAGTCTCCTGCCAAATTATCAATCAATAGTCCATCTCCAACAAAATCTCCGAGAAAATCTGTATCTAAGATAGTAGAAACAGTCACAGAAGGACAAGTAAATAAAGAAAATAAGAATATTGGACTGTGCAATGTGAAATCAAAGTTACAAAAGCTTGGCAAGCTATATTCTGGTAAGTTATATTGTGTAGTACACCCACACGGGTTGCTTCAAACTGGTTTCTTACACTAGCATACTGTAATATCTATATTCCTATGTGCAAGTCATATATAATTGGTAAACACAATTGCTTAGCATAGAATTTATGTGAATATGTTTTCTGTTACCATTATTATCTATAATCCTCTTTATTTTAGAATCATGTAATCAGTATATATATTATCAGTATATATAGATATATATATATTAACTATGTTAAGTGAGCCTAATTTTAAAAGTGCATCTATAGACTTCATTTAATCTTCTAATTATGGCTATTGTCAATACATAAGAAAACTTAAATATGAAATGCAGCTGTTGCAAGGAAGGAA